CAGGACGGCGCCCCCCCCCTCCTCTCCGGCGTGGCAGCGAGGCGGGTCGCGGGTCTCCACCGGGGCTCGTTGTCGGGAGCGGGGCTGGCCGTAGATCCAGGCCGAGGGGCGGGAGGGGGGGCAGAGCCAGCAGGCCCCGCGGGTCAGAGCGACGGGCTGGGAGGGACCTCGCCTCCCCCCCCCCTCTGCCATGGAGCCCGGCTGGGCGGCCTTGGACCAAGGCTCCCTCTAAGCTGTGGAGTCCTGTGAGCAAAAGTTCTACTTGGTGAGCTACTGGCATTAAAGTTGTGGGCAAGCTATTTGGCTCCTGCATACATTAGTTTGCTCTAGAGCCCCATCCTTCCTGAGCGAAGACAAAGATGTGTGAGCCGGAGGCTAAAAAACTGTGAGCTGGCTCGCACTGACTCAGCTTAGAGGGAACACTGCCTTGGACCAGCCACACCTCTCGGCCTGACCCGCCTCACAGGGCTGTTGTGAACATACAGCGGAGGAGGAGGGGAGCTACCTTGGGACCCCCTGGGAGGGAGAGGGAGAGAGAGAAAGGGCAGGACATGGGTAAATAAGACAGAGCGGCCTCAGGGAGGGAGGGGGCTTCTCTCCCCCTGGCTTGTCTGCAGGGCAGCGTTGGGAGCAGAAATCCCACCTCCTGAGCGGGAAAAAGCTCACCAGCATTAAAGTTGTGCGCGAGACTGTCGTGTAAGATCACTTCCATAACCTTGTAAAAGCCTCAGAATAAATCCTCTTAAATTATATTTAAGCTATATGGTAAGATTAATTTAAACGTTATTAGAGAAAACAGAATGAAGTCCGATTCCACCCGCTATATCGGTGGACCTGGCCTCCAGGGAACAGGGCTGTCCCGAGCACCAGCTGCTTCTCCCACCCAATTCCCTTGAGATCCTCGAAAGGGGTGGGGGGAAGGGAAAGCAAGGCTGTTAATGAGAAGATGTTCATAGAGCTCCCTTGCACACAACGTTTGTTTGTAAATGGAAGGCTTTCGCTGTAGCTCCAAACACTGGATCATTTGCAGCAGTGTCCAGGCACACAGGGCTTTTAAGTGTAACATGACCTCTTCTGACAGCCAAAGAAAACGGAGTGTGTGTGTGTGAGAGGAAATGCAATTCATACTTCCTTAGGCTGAAGGCGAAAGGCTTTAAGCCAGGGGCTTCCCACCGGACTTGTACCGGAAGGTCCCGGTCACACAGCAAAGTTGCCGCAGGACAGGCACGGGTGGTGGGCGGATTATCCGGGCACAATCACACTCCCAACATCTGGGAAGTGGAGCGCACCTGTGGCTTACCACCGACAATGCGAGTTAAAAAACTAGTACCTCCAAGGTACTAGTAAACGTTTGCCACGGGCTGCCTCCAGACACCCGTGGTGTGATCGCGCCAGCGCGCGGCATTCCCCTCCGGTCCCTCGTTTACCCGCCGGCGCCAAGGGAAGGACCGGTGGTGTGCTGCCGGCGATCGCGTAATCGCGGATCAAACGGCACCGGGGCAATTAGCCACTCCCCCCCCCATATCCGGCCCGTGTGACCGGGGCTGAAGATAAGAAAGTAGGGGACACCAAAGTTGTGGGGTTGGCAGTTTCAGGTGGGGAATTTCCTGGAGATCAGGCAATGGAAAATGGGGAGGGTGGGGCTTGGGGAGAAGAGAAACCACAGTGAGACATAATGCCACTCACTCAACGGGGGGGGGGGCAGGGGGGGAAAAGGGGTTCCAGCCGCCCCAACCCAAGGCGA